GTTTTCTATAGCGATCGCGTTGCGGCGACCCCCACTCAATCCTGCAATGCACTGTGGTAAACATTGCGTGACGTAATTAGTACAGAGGGTTATTGTCAGGTCTGGGAACCAGACTACTGGCGCCATATTTTCCCCGCATTTAATCAAAACGTGATGGACATTATCACTGTTGTCGTTGTATTGGAATGAATGCTTACTAACGTTTAAACGCGTTTATCCTATTAAACGACTTTCTATGTGCCGCAAACTCCGCAATCGAGCCGAGCACTAACGAACCGACAAGAAACCCAGCGAAGTCCTGCAGATTTTCGGTCGCACACTAGATCTAGATCGAACTAGAACGAATGAAAAACAAGCATGTTGGTTTTCTGAAAGTTACAATTAGGCATAATTGGCTGCGCCTGAGAGGTTCACTGTGAGACGATGTTTTTTTCTCAAACTGATATGTGGGCAATTAATGCTTATATGAGCCACAGTTGCCCAAGCAGTTGTTGTCAGTATTTCGTTCGGCAGATGCACTGAAAACATCTTTATACCACGTGCCATATTATTTCCCATCATGTCTTGCATGTCGAGTGTAGGCCGCGAACTAGACTCCAAAGAGTGGCAAAATAGGTTCGACAACAAATGTTATATGCTCGATTGTATTGTATATTTCATCAATGAAAACCCATCAGCTTCACCATGACTTTCATGCCTATTAATATCGAAATTTGATATCAACGACTTACAATCAATAATGTGTCAGACACAAAGCGCAGCCAAGGCCATGTTCACAGTTCTCATTTCAGTGCCCAATTTCTGAACCTCGTTATGGCTTCAATGAAAATAAATTCTATATTAATACTTTTCCTTGAAGTTGAGCTTTAGGCAAAACCTGAAGCTAAGGAAGAACTCAGCAAGGAAACAATAAAATATACACAAATAACAGGTATACACATTACACAAATTAAACGTATGGAGTGGTACATGGTAAGTCAAAAGCCTCGGCAATCGAAAAGAAGTTGAACACGTTTTGCCAACGATCTGCGGGATGATCGGATAGAATGCTCAGTATGTGCGCGTGCGTGCTGTGTACGTGCTGCGTGCGCCCAAACCTCGAACTGTAGCTAAGGCCAAAAAAAAAGTCTCCGGTTTCTGGTATGGAGCTTGCCCAAAAAGTGGTGCGGCTTTTTTTTTTTTTTTTACCTGACTTTTTTGCTTCAAAATAATGTCGGCTGATGACAGCAAATGGTGTCCGACTAAACTTAGTGCAAATATATGGGAGTCCAGAGAGGCCACATAAAGCTTATTCTCGACCATAACCCAATCTAAAAACACGTTAAAATTGTGCAGCAGCAGGATTCCAGTCAAACTAGTGAGTTGGGCGGTTTTGAAACATCATCTTTCATTGAAAAAATAAAACTTTTTCATTTTGCCGACGCGCGTGGCTACGGCGACGCGCGCGCATACCAGAAACCGGAGACTTTTTTTGTTTTGGCCTAATTCACACATCGTTTTGCAGAAGATTTCATTTTAATTCTAGGCTTTTCTAGCGCACGCAATATTTTAGCAGATAAATTTATGAGAATGTTCGCAGGGTGCTTAAAAAAGCGCTGTACATTATAGAAATGTAACATTAATCATGTCATGCAAGCCACCAGGTCAGTGAATGTGACAGTTAGGCACAATCTCATTAGTCTGGTTTCATGGCGTCGTTAGGGAGTCTTTCGTCAGGAAACCAAACGGGCACTCGCGGATGTCCGTGCCTCCCTCGAGCACAGTATCCGTATCACACAATATGGACCGTACGAGTTCACGTCACGTAGGGCTAGCTATACGTAGCGAGGCGGCGCGTTCAAGTTGGAGTGACTCTCGACACGTTATCTTGAAAACTAAAAAGTACGTCTTCTGAAAATGAAATTGCCGTAAAATTATAGGTAAAATATGTGGGTTTTTTCTGGATTCGGGCCGAGTCCTCAAGATTGTCGAGTCCTCATTGTTCGAGTCCAAATCCGAGTCCGAGTCCCCACTATCCGAGTCCGAGTCCGAGTCCGAGTCCTTGAAAATCGGGACTCGAGTCCGGACTCGATTACATCAATACATCCACCGTTTATGAATTTGAATGAAACAGTTTAAAATGTGCAGGAAAACCTATAGTATAAAAGTGTACATGATATTTCACCATGTTATTTTTTGAAAACTATTTGTGAACATTTTGATGTGGTTTTTACCGAATCGGTTGTGCATTTTTTCTCCCGAGTCGTTTAGTAAAAATGATTTTTCATACACAGTGGCAAATTGAAGACTAAAAATGGTAAAACTACAGAGGATTTATTTTTCGTAGTTTATAGCAGCTTTATTACAATCCAAGATGAAATATTGTCATCTACAGACCAAACGATAACCATCAATATTAAGAACTCAGAGTACAGTGGTATGAGATTTGGTACGATGTAGAAATACAAAATCTACGTTTCTAACCAGAGTGAAAGCAGTTCAACCGTTCAACAGACTGAGGTTGAAAGGGATTAAGGTTAAACAGGTTAAACAGAAGTAACTAAAGTTCCAGTTTAAAAGTATTAATGGAATTATTGACGGACAAATATTTCTTAACTTTTTCACTATACTAAGCTTTAGGTACCACAACTGCTATCGAGGCATTGGCTTTTATACACAAACTAAAAATGCTGAATAACCCACTACCTACGCCGAAAAGTTTTGAGAAAATGTTTAACTGGTGCTGTTTGCCTAAAAGGTGCCTATCCTGTAAAACAAAATGAAAAAGTTTTTTTTTCAATGAAAGATGATGTCTCAAAACCGCCAAACTCATCGGTTTGACTGGAATCCTGCTGCTGCACAATTTTAACGTGTTTTTAGATGGGGTTATGATCGAGAATAAGCTTTATGTGGCCTCTCTGGACTCCCATATATTTGCACTAAGTTTAGTCGGGCACCATTTGCAGTCATCAGTCGACATTTGAAGCAAAAAAGTCAGGTAAAAAAAAAAAAAAGCCGCGTCGCCGCACCACTTTTTGGACAAGCTCCATACCAAAAACCGGAGACTTTTCTGGGGGGGGGGCCTTATGTTGTGTTTATGTTGAAGTGTGTGTTCCAAATAAACCCCTCCCAATTGTTTTCGAGACGCATGTATTTTATTAATTTACAATTCCCCCTCTTAATTTGCCTGTGAAGTCAATTATTTACATCTGTTGAATGTACCAATAAGTTTGTTAGAATTTAATGTATTTGGATTCATTCGCAAGAATCTAATTCAAGGACTATAATCTAATTTAATATTATGATAAATTCTCCAAGCACATCTTGCCGTACTACAGCCTGGAGTCACAGCCTGTTAATTATAATGTTCTCTCGTGTAAGTATAAATTGTAGGCAATACATAACCAGTAAAAAAGTGGAGTTTTAATCCACGACTAGCACCTACCTATGAATCAAAGCTCTCATTAGATGTGTCACTTACCCACGACAGTTTCGGGAAAGGTTTTAAAATTAAAAAAATAACATGTGACAAATTTATTTGGTATTTACTGAATCGGTGGCGTATATTTTATCAATACGTTATAGTCACATTTTTTTTCCGGAGTCATGTAATAAAATTCGTCACATAAAAGTTGACACATTACTGACACAAAATACCCAAAATAAAAGAGGAACTGTTTTTAGTGTATAGTTTATAGCCAGTTTATTACAATTCAAGATGGACGTTTTTGATTCTTCAAACCAAACAATTAACCATTGGGATGAAGAACTAATGGCACAGTGATATGATATTTCGAAAGATTCAGAAATACAAAATCCTTTTTAATTAAACAAGGGTTGGAGGGAACCATTCGCGGAGCTTCCCCTTTAATCTACCTTTATCTGACCGTTGCGTGGTATGCTTTCCTACCACCGTGTAATTTGAGCCACCCGGCCCTCAAACCCCAACTATCCCAGTCCATTCACCCCCGGTATCCTTCAGAACCCAAACAGCCATTGACACCACAAACTGGCACTGTTAATTTCAAAACTGTTCCATTTTGGTCAGCAAGGGTGATCCAGAAAATCCCAATGTGAACATTGCAATTATGTACAAGCCTATATGAAAATGTGAACAAGTACAGTATGTTTTCCCGCCAATTTAAATTCACCCACTAAGGCCAGGAAAGTGACACCCCCTATGAAGGATGTACCATGGTCCAAACTAGGATCTACTGAAAGATGACCTCAGGCATGCCTACCACGTGGCTGGTCCAATATAAAACATAGACATGTGCGTAGTCTTGATTCCATGCTGGCTCTTACAGAAGTAAGTTAAAAAAGTATTAATGTAATTAACACAAAGGTTTCTAAACTATCCCTCAGAATTTACTGGGCTGATTGATTTTGGTTTATATACTCAATATAAGAGCTACAACCAACTACCTAGGCCGAAAAAAAAGTTGGAGACAATTTTAAATTTGACGTTTGCCGCGATTGCACTAAAAGATATACTAGAAGAGGAAAAGTTTAATTCTAAAACCTGTTTTATGCTAATGTACGTATGTGTTTTTATAGTACCCCGAACCTCCCAAAACAAGTAAAAAGAAATTACTAATTAAACATTGGTAAAGTATGTCTTAAAATCCTAAGAAAGGAAATGAAAATAACAGAATAATTTTAACCAAAAAATGAATTAACAGAAGAATGAAGTTATAAATCAGAAAACTAAAGAAACGGTTACATTTCTAATTTTAAGGAAAGCAAAGCATAGCAACGCAAAGCAGAGCACAAAACGTAACGCAGACGCAGAGCTGGTTAATGTCAATACAAATTCATTTACACTTCAATTCTCTCATAGCAATTTCTAATAAACTTCCCAAAATGTGATGTATTTCAAAACCATACCAAACGAATTTGAAGTTCATGTCGATTCCCCACCTCCACTGCAAATACATGTAATTACAAGTGACCTATACAAAATAAACCCAAGATGACCTGATTGATTTTTTTTAAATCTTTACTCATTAACAAGTTGTAATTTACTCAACCTCGTGATGTTCTGCTATGATTTCTTCGTAAGGCCTTTCCACAAAGTCTTCTTCAACATCAAAGGAATGATCTCGAACGTTGGCCATCACAAGACGTCTGCTTCTGCCTTCCCTGTTCGGTGACTCGTGTCGACAAAACCAGCAACAGGCTTTTGCAATGCATGTTGCCATACTACCACAGCACCCAGAGTGCCACAGTGACTTCATCACCATCCAGAGAAGACTTACTGTATAAAAGAAATCAAAAATGGAACATTGTTATTGAACTTGATAGCGCCGTCCCAACTGTCAATAAAACAGTGCTTATTGACCAATTAGGCCTACAACATGACTCTTGGTCAGTTTAAAAAATTTGGTCTCAAGCATCGTGCAAAATGTACCAATGAACTGTCTACGACAATCAAGATTATTGATTTATTTAAAGGCGTACCAATGACAAACACAATGATGCTGAAGTTCATCAGAACCAGGATAGCCGCAAGGACTTCGGTTCTCCCTGTGCCACCTCCAGTTCGAGACAGGAGCAAGGAAGCTGCCAAGAGATTTAGAAAGATGGTTGCCAGGGAACACATCTGTAGACGGTTGTCGGTGGCGTCTTTCATCGGTCTCACATATGCATGTAGGAGCAGGAACCCAACAGATATGGCGATGGTTGCAAACATGGTGAAGTGATCATCTGGGCCGTACAGCAGAACAAATAGTGTTTGGATGATCTTGCGAGAAAGCTCAACAATTTCCCAGTACCAGAACTCTGCCTTGTAGTTTCCACTAAGGAAACCTTTCCAGGTGATTTCCGACGGACTTTGTTTTGGGGAATTTAGGAGGTCGATGCCTGGTTGATTAAGTGTGGAATCATCTTCATTTCCCCGTGCCATAGTTGAGTCATTGATGCTGTAGTAACCTGGATCCTGTACTGGCGATTCAAGCAAAGGCTGCTCAAGTGATTTCTTCCTCTTTCCTCCTGATGACTGACGCCCTCTCGTGTCTCGTCCAGTGAATTCTTTCTTGTCTTTTCTGTTGCCCCTCCATAGAAGAAGAAACAGCAAGGACGGAAAGCCAACAACGTAACAGAGAGAAGCCTCGGCAGCATGGTGGAAATGAACATGCTGCTCATCTTGACAGTCGATAGAGTAATCGGATCGAAGTCGTGTAGCATTGTGTGTTTCGTTCTCATCTAGATAGAACAGGTCGCAGCCAGAAGGCAAGAGGGTGAATATAACACTGGACAAGCTGGGATAGGACACAAAGAGAAGCATAACAACAAACAGGTAACATTTCTGCCTTGTAGTTGACAAAACCTTGACACGTTCTTCAACAGTGTATTTCTTGACCGCCAAGTAGCACTTTGAGACCCAATAGAAACTCAATGCTGCCAACACAACAAATGCAACTAAGCTCATCCCAAACAAATACTCAATGTACACATTGCGGTAGGTGAAGTCTGGAAAGTAGCAGCGGGGACTGATGACCAGTTGGACAATATTCATCTCCAGCAGTTTGAAAAACGACCCAAACTTGGTCAAAATATTCGGCCAGGGAATCTCATTAAGGGCAGAGAATATCTCGCCCATCACCTGATAGAAACCTAGCAAGATTTTCCCCCGAGCAAAGATCACATCAACGGCTGACCGTCCTTTTCTCTGGTTTCTCCGCGCATCCCAGGCGATGACGAGTATTACCACGGCCAACACGACCAGCAACAGAACGACTTCAAGTAAGAACCACCACCACTTCGGACACACATTACAACTATCAAACCAGGCGTAGTACCCCACACTGCATTCAGAGCAAAGCCAACCTTCATAACCAACCTCACAAGTGACATTGATACCATCACCTTCATTCAAACAAGACTCCTTACGTGGACACGGATGTACCTTAGGCAACACTCCCTTGAAATGCTGATTGCTATTATTGTAGGAATCACCTCTGCTTCTTATGTTTACAACAAAACGCTGATATGATTTGAAGTTTTCGTTGGAGCCCCAGTCCCAAGTCCACCAGAATCCAGGTAAGAGGTGTTGATACTCCCCTGAACAGTCAATGCCTTCGTCTGGGCAAGGATAACACTCATCAAACCGATCTTTACGGTAGTACTCATCAAGACAAAAGCATGCGCGGAACCCTGCATGGAGACTTTTGTTGGTACCTGTAGGACACACGGTGCAATCTGCAGGGCTGATACCAGGGTGAGCAGCTGGGGTGACATAGGTTCCATTGTTGCACTTTTGACAGTTGATGGGCTGCGATGCGTCCGCTACTTGTCCAGTCTTGATTTGGTAAAAGCCTCCTAGGATTGATGAAGACAATGACAACGATTCCATTAAAACCTGTCACTAAAAAAACACTAACTGCAATTCGACCCCCTTTCTTCGACTTTATTTCTGACTTTCAACAAAGTACTATAGAATGTCATGCAAACCTGAAACCATTTATTTTCTCAATACATACTGAGCACCGCTGGTGCTCCCATTAGCTGACTTAATCATGTTGGGAAATATTCTACGTATAACCAGGACACGACATCAAAGTCCGATGGTATTCAGAAATCCGTGCATGCCGAACTTCATCAAATCAGAGAAGTTTCCTACATAGATTGTTAGTTTAGACTCTGGCTGAGATTAGACTGACTATCACCCGTTATCCACGGAGCTAAGTCCTGCATAACGTCTGATATGTCTAGACATGCAGATATATGCAAGCCGCGCGCCAGCCAATCGGGGTCGACCTTCTTAATCGTGACGTTATTTCATTCCTCAATCAGGATTAAAAGTTTGATTGTTCAATTCGATTGCTGTTTTGTAATACAACAACAGCCGGGCGCGATATCGCGTAAAGCTCAGTTCATTCTTCACGCGAATGCGAATGAAAAGCGAATTTGACGTCATGAAACATTGGCTGCGAAATTCGCCTGAGTTTAAACCTGTTAAAATGTATGAATTCGCCGCGCGAATACTTACAATGCATAGGTGTAGCCAGGGGGGGGGGGGGGGGGGGAGGGGGTATTTACCCCCCCCCCCCCCCCAAAAAAATATTTTGTAAAGACTGCTTTTTCCATTCAAATGCCCTTTTTTCAACGGGACTACCCCCCCCCCCCCCCCCTATTATTTGTAAAGAGTGCCCTTTTTTACGAAGTGCCCTTTTTTTCTAAACATGTGCCCTTTTCAAAAAAGAAGTGTTGCCCTTTTTTGTGGCATCTGCCGTTTAAGGCGCCTTTTTCCAAATTTAGCACATGTATCGCCCTGAAAAGCATCATATATTGGCCCTTTGTGTGCATAATTATCGGTTTTGAACAGCGCCCCCATCGACAGATGGTGCCCCCCCCCCCCGCTTTTTGATTTTTTGATTGAAAAAAAATCTGTCTACATTTCACAACACATGTGAAACCCCCCTTTCCAATAAAATGACCTTGGCACCACCCCCCCCCCCCCCGCAATGACGTCACAAATTCGGTTTCCCGCCGAGTATGAACCGGGCTTTAAATGATACAGAGTACATGAAACATATTTCTTTTTTATCCATTGTCTATGACGCGCAACTGGTGAATGACCGAATGCCGGATATAGAAAGCGCCCGCTGACTGGTCAACATCTAGGAGGTAAAGAGGCGGGGTCTATCTTTCGGTCAGCTGATAGTGAATGGCATGAACATTTGAAGAGGTGGTGGTTGTGTCAACTTTCCTTCAGAATATAATGCTTAAAACAAGAGCTTCACTTAATAAAGTACCTGGTGGGCATGCTTTACATACACTACTCCCGGGATCTCCATAATACCCTTGCGCACAGGGCACACATCGCCACGTAAGACTTTTGAAGCCAGTTTTTGAGCAGGCGAATCCAGATTTAATGAAGAGAAATCTCTCTTCCTTTGTTACAAGTATCGGTAGGGCGAACCCATCACCAACCAGTTCGCTGAAATTCGAAAGTAAAAAGTAAACAAATTCTCTTATTTTTACCGTATCCTGTGCCAATGAAAAACATTAGAGGTCCAGTTTCAAACAAGCTCTTAATTCTGTCATTGCTGATACTTAATCAGAAAACAAAGTTACCAAGTAAATAGTAATCATCAAGTCATAATTACTTCACAAGAGTCTTGAAAGATCCTTACATTTTCAGGTCAGTCCGGTTTGTGGCAGGTGCAAACTGGAGGGTATTATCAACAGCCCTGAGAATAAAGGAAAATAATGTAATGGTATTATGGTCGAAACACCTCTAATGGTGGTTGAGAAAACTCCGTACATGTATAAACTTTTAGAAGTGAAGCACATAATATATTTATGAAGGAAATCTTAGTTGTTGAGCTGAGATAATGTTACAATTAAAACAAAATCTTAAATGTATCGAAATGTGATACATACAGTTCAAGCTTGGTTTATCCTCAAAAGGGTAAAATCATGAAGGAAAATTACTGACAGTTTCGATTTGAGCAGCATCATAATTCATATAGAGATACATAAAATAAAAACCTGTAAACTCACACATAGGCGTTGGAACCCAAATCTTGCCATACAACTTCGGAAATAGTTGTCAAATGATTGTCATACAACGATCTGAAAAAAATGGAAAATTAAGCATACATTTGTCCCTCAAATTTGCAAGATCCACACTGTTTCAACCTAGAATTGTATACATATCATAAATAATCATTAATAAGATTGGGACCAACAAATGCTTATCTACAAACCAGGACTTCACCATGATATCGGAATCTTTTGTTTTAAGGTGCTGATTGTTCCTGAAATATTTTTGTCATGGGATTTTTTGAGGGGCTCAGCTATACACGTAAAAGCGATAGTGCCTGCTATGGAAAAAAGTATGGTGATATACATGTACTAGACTTTTTTTCAGAGAAGTAAACAAATTAAAGAAATTTGATGATAAATGTACTTACACCTGTTTGATGGTGTTATTCACGGTAGCAAATGGCCTCTCTCCAATCGATGAAAGGTTGTTTTGGAACATGGATCTAACATAAGAATTGAGAAAGCAGAATATTTTTTTTAAGTTTGCAAAGCAGTAGCCTAAGTTATTATGATATCTCGGATATTAACAACGCATGATGTAAGTGTATCCAATGGGCCAAGCCCACTGCGCACATGTCCAACAACACTTGCGTCTCTTTATATCCACGCATTTGTGTAGTACCCATTATTCAGACGCTCTCATCGTGTAAGTGCACGCAAGGTCGAACGTTAATGGTGGTTGTGATTGGACAAAGCTTCATGGGGCGGAGCTTGGCGGATCGGTCCTGTTTGGACCATTGACATCCCTGAAACGAGTTGTTAATGTACATGTACTTACAAGTTTGTGAGCTGCGTGTTATAGAAAAGCCAGGCTTGTATCTCAATGAGAGGGTTGCCAAAGGCGAATCTATAAATACATAACAAGAACTGCAGTTTGGTTGCTAGTAAACATTGTATCTTGTAAATATTAGGCGTATAATGACGGGGCACTGTAAATCATTTCAAAATCCTTTGTAACTGCACAAGGGCATAATAAACCATGGATAATTATGGTGAACAAGTCGTGATTTTTCCCAAAGGGAATACGCCCGGCGTAACGGTCTCAGTTATCCGGTATGCTGATCATTCCGGAGGGCAAATTTCATTTGCATTTTGTAATTAGCGGCCGAAACGAGTGCCTTTTTTTTAAATTTCGCTCGTGCGCTGCCCTGCAAAACGCCATCTATTGTCTGATTGAATGGTGCCCCCATTGGAAGATGGAATCAGCCCAGCGCCCCCTCCCCCCCCCACCCCAAAACACACGTTTTGATTTTACTGAGGTCAAGTGTCCGGAGAAAATAAACTGTCAACAGTTCAGCACGGATGTGCGAGTGCCCTTTTCAATAGATTCCCCCCCCCCCATAATATAAAAATGTTCTTGCTAGGCCTACGATAAAGCAAGGAATCTATATGATGTAACCTTACGCAAGCAGCGAGAAGCTAGCTTCACTAGAGTTCTTACTGTATTGGAAGAACAATGGTTCGAGATTTCTGTCCCAATTCTCAGCGCCCCCCCCCCCCAACTCTCTGCCAATTTGCCTGATCCCGGCTGAGTCGTGCTTGATCATGCACTTGGTGCCCATTCAACGGAAAATCCAGCCCTAGCATTATTCAGCCTATGACGGTAAGGCCAAAAAAAAAAGGCTCCGGTTTCTGGTATGGAGCTTGCCCAAAAAGTGGTGCGATGACGCGGCTTTTTTTTTTTTAACCTGATTTTTTTTTGCTTCAAATGTCGGCTGATGACTGCAAATGGTGCCCGACTAAATTTAGTGCAAATATATGGGAGTCCAGAGAGGCCAATAAAGCTTATTCTCGACCCTAAAAACACGTTAAAATTGTGCAGCAGCAGGATTCCAGTCAAACCAGTGAGTTTGGCGGTTTTTAGACATCATCTTTCATTGAAAAAAAAAAGTTTTCATTTTGCCGACGCGCATGGCTACGGCGACGCGCGCGCATACCAGAAACCGGAGACTTTTTTTTTGCCTAACATGCCCTATTATCCCCTGAATTTACCCGGAAAAATCAGCACGCCGGACAACTGAGACCGCTACACGTACTGCGCGTAGACGGGTGAGCAATATAATGAACGTTTTGAAAATGCAAGGAACATTATATTTCATTAGAAAAGAACAAGACCCAGTGTCCTAGTGCCACACAAAAATCAGGCTCTGTTGAAAATCAAGCAATGCCCATTTTCCATCGATTGTTTTTCTCCAATTTATTGTTGGGATAATGTAAATCACTCCCAAGAACCCACGTGTCTTCTGTTGACACTACTGAATTATTCATGAATGACTTCACCCACCTACGGGAAAAAATGTGGCCGAAGGATTTGTGCCTTTGCGAGCTCGCGGTTAGGGCGTACTCTCCGGGCGCACATCCTTGTGACTTCCAACAATTGAGCAGCAAAGATCTGTTTTAACTCAATAATTATCACATCCAATTTTGAAATAAAAATATTAAAAAAAGTCGGGAACTCACAGAACTTCTAGAGAGTGAAGATCCTTGAACATCTCTCTGTTGAGGACCGTGATTTGATTGCGTTGCATGTAGAGTCTCTTTATCTTAGTCTGATTGCGAAATAAGCCATCAGAGATGGAGGTCAGACTATTGGAGCTTATGTCACTTCAAAATGTAAAATTGAAAGAAAAAGTCAAACCTATGCACAATTGAAAACATGCTTCAAACGTTTTCGAGACAGCACTGTAGTTCAGACATAGTGAAGATAAACTGTTTTCTTCTGAGGTTTTTTTTTAAGAAGGAATAGGGAGTAACTTTAAATGGACCCGATTTTTTTTCCGCTTGATAATAATCTTGAGGGTTAGGTATTGAACTACTTGAATCTAGGCGAGCTGTGCTTAATTTACTACTAAATCTCAAATGGGGTCATTTATGAGACAGTTACGTTTGCAGCACCTTCTCGGAAAATTCACACCCCCATCAAGCCTCCCTCCACTCCAACCTGTATACTGGTAACAATACTCAAACACTTATACAATCTGACACCTCTTTCTTTCAAAGGAACGATTAGCTTTCGGTGCATTGTGGCCCCCCCCCCCCCCCAAAAAAAAGAACACTCATCATTTTCTGCTATAAAATGTGCATAAGCGTGATGATTGAGACGAAAATAAAACATAAAGTCTCTCCAAAATCTTACAACAGTTCGGTTAATGTTGTGTTGATTAGCAGATTCTCTGGGAGAAAAACTATGTCGTTGTCCGCTACAAACCTGCAATATACGGCAACGGATACAAATGTTTAAAAGAAAGGTTATTGACAAATTTCTTCATATCCGATTTGTTATAACAAAATTCGTTGAATAATTTTTTTTATATGCCCAGGCCTTTCGACTTAATGAAGACTACTTTGAACTTTGCAGTTCTGGAAAGGTCCCTTTTATCCACAAAACAGATGTTTGCTTGTAATTTTGTAATGATCGATGACATTTTTTGTTGGTTTAATACAGTAAGCTTCATTACGGCATATGCAAGCATGAATAAGAAGTGTACTTGTACTACACTCACAACTTCCTGATTTCAGTTGACGCTTCGAACAAACCCTCTGGTAGAGTTGCTAGGTGATTGTTATCCATTTTCCTAATACAGTTTCACAGAGATGTAAAATGAGAGGTTTAAATTTGCATTTAACTGTTTTTCTTTATTTGTCTGATATGGCGATTGGTCCCAAATACCAAATGTTAAAATATATTCATACATATGGTCAAAGAAAGTTTTACTTTTTTACGTTGATGGTGAATTTTACTCACAGCTTGTAGAAGTTGTAAATACCATTAAAAGCTCCAACAGCAACTCGGCGTACTGCGTTACCAGCAAATGAACTGAAGAGCATAAGAGCCAAAACAAATACATAATTTAAACAATTCAAATTTTATCGGATACGTCAATTTGCAGTTATAACTAATAACAGGTTTACTGACCCCCGTCCTTTGAATTGTTGTTATACTCTGTCTTGAAGACCAATAGAAAAATCCCCCCCCAAAAAAAAAAATTACAATGACCTGTAGGCTATGATATTTGACTGTAATACTCACAATGTGTTGATTTCTTTCCTGTGTTGTTTGTTCGAGGGATCCACAAACAAACTAGCTGGAATCTCGGGAATTAGATTGTTTTCCAAATATCTGCAAAACATGAAAACAGTTTGAGAAATAACATGTTCCTTTAATGAGGGCAAACTTCAGTATGGTAATGTTTTGTGATTTATAATTGTTTTAAAGGGTATGTTAAACATACCATTTAAAACAATTATAAATCACAAAACATTACCATACTGAAGTAAACTTAATAAACTTTATTAAAATTCTTGTTCAAGGCAAAACTTGAACGTCAAGGTTAGCTATAATGCTATCCATTAACAATAACCCTTACACCTTCAATATTTGTAAAAAGATGTTGTTTGGTTATTTTTAGTTAGTTCCCGAAATCATTATTATGGAGAGAAATTTGTTGGCCTGTGGCTAGAACAGTTATCCCTTGGGCAGGGAACAACAATATGTAGAAACGACTATCATTTGAAGACCTTTCTTCTGTGAGTAATTATCTCAACTGACATGCATACTCACATCCAGCCGAGCGTGGTGACTGTACCAAAGGTGTGTTCCTTTAACAGTTGCAAATCATTGTATTGCATATATCTGTAAAACCAAGACGTGTGAAGAATACGTAACTGTGAAATTCAAGGTTTAACGAGACCAACCCGTGGTTAGTACTTTTTGCCAACACAGACTGGCAAACTGTAAAGGTTAACGTCTTTAAATAAGGGAACAAATGTGTGCTTGGCCGGTTTACAACTCTATGTTTAAGACCAGTTGAAGTGTGGATGCAGATAATGACCCTAGCCGAAATTCTTTTTCGATCACAAATCAAAACTGATTGGTCCAAAAGTTAAGACAAGTCAAAGTTAGACATTTCCAACGATTTTGTTCAACAATTTTACTTCATGTTTTTTTTATATGTTTTGGTGTGGCTCTCTCACTAGAAGTCGTAACAAACTCGTAATATGGAGTTTGGCGCGCGCGTCGCGCGTACTGCGTATGCCTACTTGAGGATTGTGAACGTTCAACCAATCAAACGGTTAAAGGTCCGGATTTCATATGGGTCCAAATTTCATGTGACATTGGAAAGGTGTTTTTGACAAGCCATCCGGTCTTTTTCAACCGTTTACAACCTGAAAACGCGACGGGCTCTGGACCAATAGGAATGGGTAAATTGTCTGTCTAAGTTATACATGAATAACGAATACAAGTAGTCGTTAATGTTTCGAAATAACTATTGGATATAAGAAAATAAAAAAAATGTACCAACAAATGCTATTAAAGACCTAATGAAAATGCGTCTTTAATCTTACGCGACAAAGGTGTTAATATGCACTTTTTGCTCAGTTTGTTTTGTTAAATACGGTTGCGCAACGCTCTCAAATACTATGCACATCTCACATATGTTCGTCATTTGCTGCGCGCGTTTTGGAACCTTATTGGTAAAAGGACTCATACCACTTTCCGCATACCGCATGTTGCATAGACCTACCATATTTTGCGCGCATACCACTTTGTGCGCATACATTTTGCCGCATACCATTTACGCGCATACTAGTTGCGCGAGAGTCCTTTAACTAGTTAAGCCTAGTTTTATATATCGAAGTAAGAAATGCAGAGAGCAACGCAATCAAGACCTAAACTGCAACAGGGACATATGGAAACAATTCATCCGCAAATGTCACCGACAACCCAAACAGACGCTAACTATCGATCGGCAAAGTTGAACCCGGTTCAACTGTTTGTGCAGTCTCTGTGCAGTCTGCTTATTAACGTCCATAGGCGACGCTTTTCCGCGCACTGAGCCCATAATCCACCGTGCTTTCAGTGTCTCTTACACTTGTTTGATCTGCAGTCCTTCAAAAGTATCCGGGCCGAGTTCCTTCAAATGATTTGTTGCAATTTTCCTACGGGTAAAAAAAGAAATCACATACCCAATTTTTAATGCAGTACGTGTATGTCAAGTGAAACGGAAAACTAGAGCAAAATACAAACCTAACGACGCAGCAAACTCATACACTCATTATAATCCATTCCTGTATCACATAACTCGTTTCTTGTGCATTATTGGTTGCTTGTACTAAGTGAGAGTTACGGAATACAAAAACAAACTTACAAGGTCTCCATGTTCTTCGGGCCAGTCAATTCCTTGGCTGATATGGTTGACATCTTGTTTCTCTCCAGGAACCTGATTGAACCCAAAAAACATTCCAGCGAACAATACATGTATAGCTCTGTTTTACAGCCTGTTTTACAGCCTTATCTTCCTGTTGAAGATGTTTTACTTCACATCATTCAACCATTCACCATAAATAACGCTGAGCAAATTCACGCCCCTCAACTCTATATTTGGACCCAGTCTTAGTGCAATAAGACATGTTTTTTTATGAGTGAAGGCTGTACGAAGACACTCTCATTCGCCAAGACATACGGCCTATTCACATTGCCTTCAACTATCTTTATAACCAACCCCATAGCGGGATCTTCGGGAAAATTCAAAACGCTACCAACATCATTTTTTTAGAGATTCATAATTGTCCTTGCGATGATAGCTCTCTAGTTGAAAATTGCATCTGTATTTAGGACTGAAATTGCTGAAACTGTTTTCTGAATGTTGGCTTTTGTGTAAATGTCTACAAGTTGCCCTTGACATTAAACTAAACCACGAATTAACCAAGCGCGTCCAACACTGCAAACATGAGGTCAAATATTAAATACTCATGTTGTCAACAGGTGGTTTCATAAAATCAAAATTTCATTTACATTTTGTCTCGACTAGAGATTTACATTCATTTACATTTTTGTACGGTATTTGTTCTAAAAAGGACATATTTGTTTGATACTCACATAACTTGAAGGTTGGTGCAACTCTTGAATGCATCCGCTTCAATACTAGTCACAGCATTCCCGTTTAAATTCCTGCAACAAAGTTTGTGTCTTAAAGATGGTCCCCTTTGCTATTTTTGAGTTTCATCCCGGAAACAGATATTTCTTTTCTAACTTGATATTTTTTTTCTAGGGATACAAATGTCATTGAATTTTTAATGAGATATCGACCGAAAACAAATCGGCGCATGTTTAGTTATTGAACTATAATAACTTTATAATTTCGAATAATTGGTTCCGCCCCACAATCGGTATTGATAATGTGCGGACCGGGAGCCAGTCTGCCCGCAAAGCGAATCTGCTTTGTGCTCAAAACAAAAACTCTTTTTTCACAGGGTGTCGCAGATTTCCAAAAAGTAAAAAAAAAGGTGTTTTTTTTGTTGGAATAAAGCATACAAATTGAAATAGCAGAAAACAATCGGATTATTTGTTAAACATTACGAGGAACGCATCTTTCAGTTGATCCGGTGTTTGGTTAAATAATGGCAAAAAAAATGAAATCATTATCACTTCATGAACTGCACATTCCACATTCACGGTTTGTCATTTTCAGTTTGTGTCCATTAAATGAATTTTTTACTGACACATTTCGTACAAATGAATCATTATTAAGTGTGTGAGTTGCACCTGTTTTGTGTGCTTAAGCACACCAACCTCGTTTCCATAATGTCGAGCAGTACGCTCCCATTACCCAGTCTCTCACCCTGGTACTGCATCATTTGCATGTTGAAATATCTTGCAAATGCAAATTAGGTTATTATAGTCTGGTGCCTGTCGGGTGACAGACGAGATCAATTCGAATTCAAGCGGGTTTTTTTTTTCAAGGTTGTCATATTTCAAATTTACCCATCTAACAATAACATTTTACATTACATTATTATAAGCAAGATGGAAAAGGGGGATTTTTTAGGAGTGGACTAGACTGGTTCCCGCTCTCATAACATGGGGAACAGTAGCTAGTTCCCACTTAAAGCCATTGATTGGATCACCTCTAAGGGTTCGCAGCAACATTTCTTTATATTTGAAAATAATGTTTACAATCTCGACTGTGGATGACAGTTGAACACTATAGCTATTGGAAACTGAAGGGTCTTCACGAAGGCAGTTTTCAAGGATTTCAGCTGCATGGGTTTCAAATACTGAAGATAAAAACAGTGCCCCTCTCCTTTTTTATAGTTGCCAGGGACACTTTCGAATTCAGCAAGAAGCCCATCTCCACACAAATTGCATGCACATAGCCTTGATGCCATTTTGCAATAGGCTGGTTCCACGCTAACATTTTCGTCGTTGTCTTACTTTGAGGGGGCGGGAATCAGACAAAGGCTAGTCCTGCACATAATTTGCATACATAAGGAGGAAATTCTCCTTATGTATTCAAAATATATTACCCGCTACCGGTCCCCACATTCGAAGTCCGAAGGACAACGGAGAGACCGGGAACCAGTCTAGGAGTGGACGTAATTTACGTTAGACCACGTAATACAGAAATCAAATCATCAAGTACACGACATATTATTTACATGCGATATCAAATCGGATATTGGATATTCGATACCATGTTGAAAAGTTCGCAATTCCGGGGGACGAGGTTGGCAGAAGTCTTGAAATTTTGCAAAAGTGGCATTCTCAATATCGCCAAAAATATAAATTGT